CTAGGGCGATGGGCGGAGGAGGAGGAGGAGGAGGAGGAGGAGGAGGAGGAGGAGGAGGAGGAGGAGGAGGGAGGAGGGAGGGAGGAGGAAAAAGGAGGAGGAGGAGGAGGAGGAGGAGGAGGAGGATGAGGAGGAGGAGGGAGGAGGAAGGAAAAAAAGAGAAGGCAGGAGGGAGGAGGAGGAGGAGGAGGAGGAGAAGGGAGGAGGGAGGGGAGGAGGAGGAAGGAAGGGAAGGAGGGAGGAGGGAGGAGGGAGGAGGGAGAGGAGGAGAGGAGGAGGAGGAGGATGAGGGAGGAGGAGGAGGGAATGAGGGAGGAGGAGGAGGAGGAGAGAGAGGAGGAGGGGGGGGGCGACAGGTCACCATCGGGTCCTGGGGGAAGACTGGCCCCGAGGCTGCTCGGCGCCCTCGGGCTCGGAGGGGCGCCTCTACTACGGGCCGGGGACCACCCGAGCAGGACTCGCGACGAGGAGCCGGTCCATGGGGGAGGCCCCCCCAGGGGCCCAGGATCATGTCGGGCCTGTCCCCCTCGGGGGGGATCTTCGACAAAAATAATAATAATAATAATAATAATAATAATAATAATAATAATAATAATAATAATAATAATAAAAATCCAGAAATAGTATGGGGATCATTTTTTGCGTTATTTTGCACCTTTGGGGGGGCATTTTTCGGTTATTTTTAATTTCTCGTCGAAAATCCCCCTGTGGGGGGACACGCCCGACTTCAGCCCAGGACACCTTTCCCTCGGGGCCCGTTTGCCTTCGCACCTCGGGCCGGGCGAACGGGGGAGGGTGCAAAGGGGGGGGGAGAATCAGCTCGCGTAGCTGATTTTGCCGGCGCCTCCCGGCGCCAGGAAGCGCCCACGTATCGAGCTAGTGGGCCTGGCGGCGGGGCCGAGACCAGCTGCATGCCGCAGATTTCGCACCCCCCTCTCCCAAAATTCCCCCCCTTCTCGTTCGGCCCGCTGGCACCCAGCAGGAAGATGCACTGGCCATCCCTCGGACGTCCGTTCCCCATGCTGTTTTTCCACTTCGTGCGTGGCTTTCTCGCCAAATGGTCAAGGATGCTCCTCCATGGCCCTCGCCGAAAGAAAAATGCACACGTCCGAGCGATGCCCTGAAGACGGCCGGGCGAAGGCGCGAGCCGGCAGGGACTGCTCTGGCTCTCGGGGAGCCGGCGGGCGTGGAGAGCGCGCAGCTCGAGGGGGGCGCCGCCGCTCCAGGGGGGCCTGGGAGCGCTGCGGCGGCAGCGCTCCGGGGGCGCTCTGGGGCGAAGGCGGGCTGGGGGAGGGGAGGGGCTGGAGGAAAGGCAACAAAACACACTGTGGAAAAAACAAACAAAAACACACACACACACACACACACACACAACACACACACACACACACACACACACTGTGCGTTTTTTGTGTTTTTTTCCCACCGGTTGACGACGGCATCATGGGAGGTTGGCGGTGGGAGGTTGGTGGCGGGAGGTTATGGTGGCGGGAGGTTGGTGGCAGGGTCGGGGAGGCCGAGAGGAAAGGGGGGGGGACGGAGAGGGAGGGGGGCCGAGGAGGGAAGACGAGTGGGTGATGCAAGATGGGCGGGCCTGGGGAGGTTGAAGGGCGGGGGTGGCAGAGTTGGCGGAGGACTGTGCGGGAGAGGGGGTGAAGGGTCGCAGGGATGTGGGAGGGGCGATCGTGAGGGAAAACATGTTTTGGTCTGGGCCGCGAGAAATTGAGGGATGGGGGGACTGAGAGAGGTGCGAAGGGGGGCAGGCAGGCCACCGCTGCGGACAGATGTCCACGCCTACCTCAGGCCAAGTGGGCGAGGCCGTGGCCTCAAGCACCGCGTAAAAAGATCGCGATAACAATAATTGAAGGGTAAGTTCAGGCAGGTCACCCTGCAGGAGGAACAAGGGGGAGGAAGGGCACTGAGGCTCGAGGTGGCGAGGTCGGCGCGAATCATTGACGGCGTCGTCGCTTGCGAACTGTATTTCGTAGTAAGGGGGAGGGGGTCACAATCCTTCCAGACGATCAGGTTTAGACCCTCCCCCAGACCAGCCATGAAAGGGTGGCATTTTACCCAGACGCCCTGGAATCCTTTGAAATCCAGGGTGGCGCCGTTGGCAGCAAGCCAGTTGGTGTGATTGACGTCATGACTGTCCAAGGGTGGTCGGCGGTGCACGCCTGTATCGTAAAGGGACTCGCGTATCTCGTCATCCCAACGCTTGCGCTGCCCACCTGATTTGCGGTGTCCCTTCCACTTGGCATGCAGGGAGAGGTGCAACTTGATGACGCCGCCAATTGCGAGGGAGGGTGGGAGGGAAGGAGAGAGGCGGAGGGGTGAGGGGCTTGAAAACAAGGGCCGCGGGAAAGGGAAAGGAGCATGTTCAGGGAGGGGGGAGGTCTAGGGCAGAGGCAGAAGGGAGAGTGGGCAAGCTAGGTGCGCTCGCGCCTCATCTGACATCATACCCCTCCCACAATTCCCTTCCAATGGCGCGGATTCGTCACTATCCGCGGACGCTTTTCATAGCCTTCCTGTGACTCCCATAGAAAGACCACTTTGTTTTAAACGCCATCGGGTAAATGTGGAGCTTCGTGTGAAGGGGGAGGAGGCGGCAAGTGCGCAGGAGGATGAGCAGGAGGAAAAAGATAAGGACGAACCACAGTAACAGGAACTGAAGCGGAATACTCAGCTGAAGGAAGACGCACAAGGAGGGGGCGGAAGAGGGGAAATGAGGGGGCCACAATAACGACGGGAACAAACCGCCGATTCAGAAACGGAAACCTTCGCTGCACGGGGGGCACCATCGAACACCGAGAAGAATCGGACGAACTGTTCTAAACAGAATGACCATTATAAAGTCATATGCGCAAGACGCCGCGCGGAGGGGGGCAGGAAATCCTCCACACAACTTCTGGGGAGGAGGGGAACTAATACCCAATTCTGCTTTATTGTTCAACGCGAACTACGTGCGTCCGGGTCATATCTGGCACCCTGCCCCTCCCAGCCACCTCGTCCAATGGCGTTGATGTGTTCAATATTCGCAGCCGCGTGTCATGGCGGATTTTGCCATCCACAAAGGGCCCCATCGTAGCATGTGCGATCGGAAACGACAGAAAGACCAGCAGGAGAAAAAAGGGGACGAGGAAGGCGGAGGACGAGGACAAACAGCAGCAGCAGCAGCAGTAAGAAATTGAGTAGCAAGGGGAGCAGGATGATCACGGGAATGCGGAGAAAGGGGAAAAACGTGGCCCACCAATATGACATACTCAGGTCCAGAAAACAGACCCGCGCTGGGGCTGGTATCCTCCACTGTCAATTGCGAATGACAGGAGAAAAGCGCCGATGCGCAAACGAGGTCCACTCTGCAGAAGGTGCACCATGTCGAAACACGGGAAACAATCGGATTCGCCGATACAACCGAACATCTTGACATCCGACGGGGGGTCCGGTCTAGAGAGCCATTGATATCCGGGCGCCACCAGGTAGGGACGACTTTGCAGAGCCAAAACAGACAACAGTCTTATACTTAAACAAAAGCCCAGACACCACAGTTTCGCACGAACCCCTCGCGCTGATGCCAAAATGCGTGAACCAACAGCACGCGCGCAACCCGCCCTGCACAGACATCGATCCGCAACTCCGACGCGCTATGTTCGCAGCGAATCCGTTCAATTACTACAACGCCGCGGCCAAGGCCCCGCACCCCTGCGAGCGACGCGTAGAATCCTCCTGGCGGCCGCGGGGCGACGAGGATCATTCGGCCGATGCGCCCGCGCCCCCCTTGGGGAAACGACCTGCAGGGCTACTTAGCCGCTGGCGCACTGAACCAGGACCGCCAAGTCGCGCGAGGCGGACTGCTAATCGCAGCGCAACTGGGCAACTGGGCCCGCGCGCCGCCGCGCCGCTGGGCCGCCAGGCAACGCGGCATCCGCGCCGTCGGAACTCGACCAGTCTGCTCCAGGGCCAGGCCTGCCATGGCAGCGGGCACCTTGCCCAGCGGGCCGCTCGACCGCCGCGCCACCCACCCCACCCCATCCCGTGAAATGGGCGGCCGAGCAAGGGCCCCCAGAAGCGCCGTGCACCGATGAACCGCGCGCCCGCCGGGTCACTGGCGCACAAGGCAGCTGGGCCACATGGCCGATGGAGCACTTCTGCAATATGCAATATGCCACTGGGCCCCTTTGCGGGAATCTGCCGCAGGGCCCCGGGCCCGCCGCTCGCCGCTCCAGCGCGTGGGAGGGGCGCGCGGCGCAGCGCGCCAGAGTGCCGCTGAACCAGCGGGCGCCGCGCCACTGGGCAACAATCGCGCCGCGGCGCCAGCGGGGGCGCTCTTCTGACTGAGAACCTGGGCTGGGGCCGTTGGGCCACCGCGCCCGCTGGCCGGGAACGGCGCGATGCACTGCCCGGGTGGCCGCCACTGGGCCACTGGGGCATGGCGCCACTGGGCCTCCTAATTAGGCGCTTGACCCTTCGGTGACAGAGTCAGCGCGCCGCGGGGCCGCTGGAACACCTGGCAGGGGCGGCCGCTGGACCTCTTTGCCGGCGGCTCACGCTGCGCCGCTCGCCCCGCGGGCCGCCCGGCATGTCGGTCGCAACCTGTTCGCCAGGGCAACGGGCCAGGGGGCGGGGCGCGGCGGGGGGCCGGGGCGACGGCCCGCATGTTGCAAGCCGCTGCTGGCGCGGGCAACGCAACGGGCGCGCCAGGCGGGCGCTCGGCCACTCGGCCGCCGAGACATGAAAAACCGCTGCATCGCTGGCCCAGCGCGCCGCGCTGCCAGCGGGAGGGCGGGGGGCGAGTCAGACGAGCAACGGCGCGCCCCGCGCAACTGGCGAGCAGCGCCAGCGGCGCCAGGCCGACTTGCAGAACACCGACGCTGGCAATTTGCCCGTGGACACATGGGCAACGGCAGAATTGCGCAAGCGCGGGGAGCGGGGGGGCGGCTAGAGGCTAGACAGCGGGCAGCGCGGCCGCGCGGCCGCCGAGACGCTGAGACGCGGATCACGGG